CATGACTCAAACCTGGGCTGTCCAATAAGGCAGCCACTAAGCCATATTTGGCTATTTAAATATATTAAATTCTAAATTCAGCTCCTCAGTCCCACTGTTGAGTACTTCGGGTACTCAAGGGTCCTATGTGGCTGGCGGTGGCTGTGCTGCACAGCACAGATACAGAACACCTCCATCATCACAGAAAATTCTATTAGGGCTCACCCAGAGCAGTAATCTCATTACAAAAAGGTGGCCGTTCACTACATTTTCCCTGATAGGTTTGGTTTTCATGCTTTTGTTCAGTCCCCACCCTGCAAAGTGACAGGGACTGCCCACGGCCAGGAACTCTGGTGGAGGCGGGAAACCTCCAAGTCACGTGAGATCTGTAAAGTGCCCCCACCCACAGGGCCGACTCCCCACCTCCTCCCATGGCTAAGAATCAGTGCTAGACCATCAGACGATTCCTTAAAATTTCAAAAAAGAGCCTCGTTCCTATTTGAACAAGTGCTAGCCTAACCTTTTAAGATTAAAGAGACAACTGGAGACGGATCAGTACAGTCATGAGTCGCTGGACAGGGATGCGTTCTGCGAATGCGCCCTTGGGTGACTTTGTCCTAGTGGGAACATCACAGAGTGCGCTCACACAAGCCTAGATGGTACTGCCTGTACACCCACGCCATACAGAATAGCCTATGTATTTGCGGTCTGTCGGTGACCCGTCGTTGTGACACGCACAAGACTGTGTGGGTGAAGGGCCAGCCTGGCCTCACTGAAAGCATCAGGGGTTTCTCTCCTGAGAATGTAAAACTGGGCCCAAAAGAGAGCAAGCTGGGATGGTGGTCTTCAGAAGCAGGGAGGGGTAGGAGGGACGCTCTCTAAGCTGTCCCATGGAAGGTCTAGCGCACACGAACGGGTCACCCGGCTGCAGCAGCCACACTCATCTGCGTCTGGCTTCCTTGGTGTCCCGCCCGCCACCCTCCCTCTCTGCAGGGAGCAGACTGTGTCTACACAGAAGGCAGAGGGAGGCCCTCCTGGAGGCTGTGCAGGGTCCAGGTCTAGTCCCAGGTGGCAGTTGCCAGCACCCCGAGCCCAGGTTCCCTCAGCTGTGACACGAGCACCGCCTCCGCAGGCTGCTGAGAGAAGCGCTGAGACAGTCCTGCGCAGCCGGGTCGCTGTTTTCTGCTCTTGGTTCCGATAGACGCCCGGGGCTTCCTTAGTCTTTTTCAAGCTAGCCCAATTTGGTTTCATGGTTTCAGTGGGGGAGACAACAAGAATCTGGACAAGAAAAGGCAGTATCACTACTATCACAGCTGAGATTCACTGTCACCTCCACCGCGTGCCGGTCCTGTTACTACCCTGGCTACTGCCACCATGATTAGTGGCAATAACACTGGCTACCATTTTCTGAGCTTTTACTCCATGTCAAACTCTGTGCTGAACAAAGTCTTCAAAGTATCTCACAGAACCCGCATGGGCATCCGTCCCACCTGCTGTGTGTCATTACCTGAAACTTTTTCTCAGAATTGTCTTACTCTGAGCCTCTTTCTGTTTTTGTTTTCAAAATACCTTTTCTTCTTGAAATGACAGTGACAGGAGACAGTGCAGGTGTGTGTGAGTGTGTCTTTCTGTGGTATTTGGTTGGGGATTCTGTAATTTCCACTTGACAGTGAGAAAATAGGTAGAGAATTTCAAGGGCTTGCCTAAAATCACGCAGCTGAAGAAACTTCGAGGCCCAGTCTGCCGAGGCCCTGCCCAGCTGAAGAAACTTGCCAGGCCTTTTGCCACCCCAAGCCACAGCTAAAATCCTCCTGCAGCTAAAATTTGATGAGAGAACCCACCCTTGCCCCCCATAATGAAAAGAACTTTATATCGCATATTCTAAGATTTTAAAACTCTCAATAAAAATAGACTCTTTTCAAATGGCTACTTGACGCTCTTTCAAATGGATATTTTTACCTTGTTTACTGTGACTCCTGAGTTTCTCAAATATTTACTGTAAGCTCATTTATTGCAACCACTAAAGTGGAATGAGTTTGTGCAGCAAGTTCTCCAAGGATTCAGCCCATAAGACAGAGGATGCCTGTGGTCTGCAGCCCACCTTACAGGGGTCCAGGGCCCGAGGAGCAGATGCCCAGGCCCGTAAGCAGCACTTACTCTCAGCCACTTCTCCCCCCCAACCAAAACACGCACCCGCACCTTCACACAATGCACAAAAACCTCCAGGAGCTTGGAGGAGTGTGGTGAGAGAGGTTAGATGTTCCCAGATTCTTGGATTTTATGGACCAGTGAAACTGCAGAAGCATTTGGTGGACTGACAGCTAAGAAACAAGGAAAAACCAAACACCACAACCAAACACCAACACCAATAACAAAATACTACACAAAGACACACACACACACACCCAGACGATTTTCTATCACTGCCATTTCAAAAAGAAAAGACATTTAAGAACAAAAATGTAGAAAGATAATTCCTTCTAAGAAAAAGAGTTCAACTGTCAGGCAAGCAGATGCAAAACGTCCTCCCTTTTCCTCCCTTCCTGCACATGGGAAAAACTTGCTCCAGTGGGTTCAGGACCACAGCCGGGCACTGGAGCAGCACTAACCAGCTCAGACATCCTTCCCACTGTGTTCTGTGCCCACCCTAGAGCTTTTGTGAGTCTGGGCCCCATGCGGCAAGCCCGCTGGTCTCTCCTGGGCCCCATTCCAGTCCTCCAACATTCCTCAGTTCCCACTGGGCAGTGTCTCCTCCTTTACCATTGCCTGGGGGCCAGAGAAGTTCGCACATACTGAAAATCCTGGATGGAATTTCTGCAAACTCTATTCCTTGAGAATAAACTCTACTTCCCCCAGAAAATACAAAGAGTTCTGCCTGGGCACACTCTGTGAGAAATGTCTGGGTCCTACTATTCAGTTACAGGGGACTTCAGAGCACAAATACTGTCTCCCACACATGAGAAAAGTGAAGAAAAGTAAAGCAGCACTTTACTGTAACATTAAAATTAGAACAATCGCAGAGAAGATATACAAGTTCACGAATACGGGAAACTACTCTGCAAATGAAAAAGTACTTCTTGTGGGCCGGCCCGTGGCTCACTCGGGAGAGTGTGGTGCTGATAACACCAAGGCCACGGGTTCGGATCC